GCCTCAAAAATCCAACTCTGGAGAGAGAGAGAGAGAGACCGACCTTCTAGCCACTGGATGGCCATAATGGCTGGACTGGCCTAGGCAAAAGTCAAGAACCTGGAACCCCACCTGGGTCTCGCACATGGGTACAGGAGCCCCAAGCACTTGGGCCATCCTCTGTTACCTTCCCAGGCACATTAGCAGGGAGTTGCATCAGAAGTGGAGCGGCCAGGATGGGAACCAGCATTCACGTGGGATGCCGGCACAGCTTAGCCTACTGTGCTGCAACGCCAGGCCCTGGAGAACTATTCTCTGGGGCTGAGGCATTTGTCCCCAAAATCTTCCTTTTACAGTATAAGTGTACGAAGTGGCACTGTATCTACATACTTTCAATGAGTAATGCTTTGTATTTGTTAAAGCCAGAAGTCTGATCTCTGATTATTTAGTAAAAACCAAACCAAACCAAAACAAAACAAAAACCCTGAGTTCTAGAAGAACTAAAGGTGAGGCCAGTGTTTTTTTGTTTTGTTTTGTTTTTATTTTTTTTTTAATTGGGAGGAATTTGTTTGGAGCATCAGCAACTGCAGTGGAAGCAGGAGATTAAATAGGATTGGAGGCAGCCCGAGACCAGGGGGGATGCTGGGATATGGGATGGGGACAGCCCGAGACCAGGGGGGACACTGGGATATGGGATGGGGACAGCCCGAGACCAGGGGGGTCACTGGGATATGGGATGGAGACAGCCCGAGACCAGGGGGGTCGCTGGGATATGGGATGGAGACAGCCCGAGGACCAGGGGGGACACTGGGATATGGGATGGGGACAGCCCGAGACCAGGGGGGTCACTGGGATATGGGATGGGGACAGCCCGAGACCAGGGGGGTCGCTGGGATATGGGATGGGGACAGCTATAAAAAAAATGGAGGACTCAAGACAGGAAGAAGGGGCACACACTGCAGACGGGGTCACTCTGTGCCTCAGAAGCGCATAGTCATTAGGAATAATCTTGGGTAAAATGAAATCTGCATTTGATGGTCATAAAATTGAGGATTCACAAAACCTAGAGATCAGAGGGTACGAGAAATTACACAAAATGAGCAGCTATGGCCCCCGAAGAAGGAGCCAGAACAAAAAGTTCTTGCCACAGAATTGATCAGAGTTGGCAGACAAACAGTTGATGGGGCCCTGTGACTATCTGTGGTTGGACTGAACCTGACCTGCTGAACCTGGGGGTTCAGCCAGTTCCTAAAGCCCACAGGAAGACTGAGTACTGCCACTGACCTGTCCTGACCTCCACAGTACCCAACCAATTCTGAACCAAGAAGCCAAAGAACTGTTTGAACAAACCGCTTTCTCTCATCAGTCCTTGTGGCTTTGGGTCCGAGCATGTGCCTTGAGACACTCTCCTCACCAGGACCCCTCTCAGCATACACCAACACACAGGCAGATCCTCAGCTCTTCTGTCCCGGAGTTAACCTGGAGGTCACTCACGGCTCAGAACCTCTCTCTTCTGCACAGGATCAGGCCTTCAACCTCCGCCAGCACTGAACCTGGGCAGATGCTACCATGTTTCGGGGGCACTCTGCACTGAAGTCAGTGTTTGCACCTGCCACCCCACGGGAGCTGTCTAGTGGAGCTTGGAAGCTCTGTGCTACGCTCTCTGAACATAGATCAGAACACAAATACTGCCGAGAATAAGGGCCCCCTTGAGTCACTCACCATTAACCCTCACTGCTTCTGCAGCAGACCACCTGCAGGAATCGTGGGATGAGCTGGGAAGCAAGACTGTGAGGGCACAGCAGGAGAAGATTGGGAGGGTGTGGGCAGCAGGAGCAGGGAGCCTGTTCGGGCAGAGCCATTCCTGCTGGTCACAGCCCCTGGCTTTTCTCTTCCTTCATTTGAAAGGTCTTTCAAAGCACAAGCACTGTGGCTTGGTAGGCTAAGCCTATGCCTGCGGCACCAGCACCCCATATGGGCACCGGCTCAGGTCCTGGCTGCTCTACTTCTGATCCAGCTCTCTGCTATGGCCTGGGAAAGCAGTGGAAGATGGCCCAAGTCCTTGGGCCCCTGCACCCACATGGGAGACCCGGAAGCAGCTCCTGGCTCCTGGCTTCGGATTGGCCCGGCTCAGGCGGTTGCAGTCATTTGGAGAGTGAACCAGTGGATGGAAGACGTCTTTCTCTGTCTCTCCCTTTCTGTAACTCTGCCTCTCACCGACACACAAACCAGGACTGTCATGTTCTCCACCCTTGAAACCCATGGGCCGTCAGTCTGATTCCTGTAGCCATGTCCGTCTGTAACATTCAAACCGTCTCTCCATAGTTGTCTTTCAAACAGGTAGGTAAAGACAGCTGAGGTCTCTCTCCCTCACCCCACTCAGCCTGCTATGTGAGATCAGAAGAGAAAAGTGAATGCCATAACAAGAGACCCCCACAATGCACCAGTGCTGAGTGCCACTCAAACACTGGCCTCTTGGCTAAGATCAAGTGTAGAGTGTCACTCAAATGTCTGCGTATATTCAGTGCATTTATATTGCTTACAAGGACATAGTCTATATATTAAATATAGTCACCTGTCAGCCCACTAAAAGGTAGCAACTAAAAAGGTAGCAGCTGGGGTTACAAGGCCAGGTAAAATTGACAATGTTTTGGTAGATTTTCACTGAGTTTCAATATTTACTGTCATTAAACTAGACAATTGTGATGTTGGCCATGTATGGTAGTCTGTGACAATCTGTCATCTTAACTAAGCTCAGGAAAACGTGACCAAAATAGAAAACACGAGAAAACCACTAAGATGAATTTGCAACAATAGCTGAGACACAGTTACAAATAATGACACAGAGGTGGCTAACACAATGTTCACCACCTATCAGCTCATTTCTCAGTCATTTGTTAGGATTTTTTTCTTAATCACTCAAAGCTAACAAACATCCAGCACTCCATGGCCAGGAATTGCAAGAAATTAATGACTAGATCTCAAGGACCCAGAGCCAGGCCAGTTCTGTCACTGACCAGCTGAGCAGACCTGCCAAAGTTCTCATCCGAAAAACAATTAAACTGCAGGATCTGCTAGTCAAGTTTTCACAACAAAAATAAAACAGGTTCAAGTAATTTCCAAGTAATTATAATTTGAAAACAAACAGTGAAGATAAAGCCACAAAATAGAGGTTTTAAAGCTGTACCTTAAGACACTGTTGAGGTTTGGGGGTGAGATGGAAGGACCCTGGAGTCCCTTGCTCTTTTCCTATGTCTTCTGAAAGGCAGAGAGAGCATGCAATCTTCCATGGGTGGTTTACAATAGCCAGAGCTGTACTGGGCTGAAACCAAGAAGCTGGCACTCCATCCGGGTCTCCCACCTGGCTAGCAGGGACTCAGCTACGGGAGCCAGCATCTGCTGCCTTCAGGGTGCACACTGGTAGGAAGGTAGAATCAGGAGAGGAGCTGGGGCTCTACTACGGGACATGATGTCTAACGTAGCATCTTAACCACTGTGCCATGTGCCTTTCCCTTTCTTGTGTCTTCTCTATTGGGCTTTCCGTACTGATTTGTCTAAAAGCAGAGGACCAGCTCGAAATATTAAACTGAAAAGCCCTGCTTTAGGTTTGCTGGCCCCTGTGCACTGTCACACGTTTGCCTGAACGCTGTGCTTTCTTCTCCTTAGGAAGAGGCGCAAGCCTGAGAGGGCACAAGTGCCTCGGAAAGAGAGAGACATGGAAATGCAGGAAAACCCATTCTCTGCTTGTTCCTAAAGCTTTCTGGAAAATTCCAGGAAGCCAAATGTGCAGCCTTGTGCAAGTAAGTGGACCACCGTGACACCCATTCTTCTTCTGTCAGTGAGGACCAGGTGGGGTCCAGGCTCTGGAAGGTCTCCACATCTGGCCACTGGGAACAGCCAGCCTCTTTCCCTCTCCTCAGCCTTGTCCAGTGCAAATGCAACAACCCACAGAAGGCTGTGCATGACCCCGAACAAGCCAGCATGTGTCCACTAGCTGGTCGATGGTGTGGCAGATTTCTTCCAGCTGTCTTGAGGAGAGCTGGAGATGACCATATGACCAGTTTGGCCATGGTCTTGTGAGAACTTGGAACATCACAGAAATGAACAACAGAATGTCCAGTGTCTGGTGATCTAAGCTTTCAGGAGACAGACAAGTTAATGGACCAGTGCTTGTTATCCTCATGTGATGCTAAATTTCCTCAAAATGGATTTGATCAGGATTCTGATCAAAAGCCAGCAATGACCTCAATGCATGAGAAATTATTAACTGAATGGATACCCCCACTGAAGAAACAAAGATAGGTGGTCTAGGATCAGAGAGTAACTCTTAGACTCTATTTTTTAAATATTTATTTATTTATTTGAAAGGTGGAGTTATAGAGGCAGAGAAAGAGGTCTTCCATCCACTGGTTTACTTCCCAGATGGTTGCAATGGCTGGAGCTGGGCTGATCCGAAGCCAAGAGCCTAGAACTTGTTCCAGGTCTCCCATGTGGGTGCAGGGGCCCAAGGACTTGGACCATCTTCTACTGCTTCTACTGCTTTCCCAGGCCACAGCAGAGAGCTGGATCAGAAGTGGAGCAGCCAGGACACGAACTGGCACCCATATGGGATGCCGGCACTGCAAGCGGCAGCTTTGCCCACTCTGCCACACACACTATTCTTCCTGCTGTTCTCAGACATTTCACTGTCTACCCAGCACTACTGCAGGCCCTAGCCAACTGCTGCCTCCTTCGCCCAACATGCTTCAAGTGAAGCCATCCCACCCTCTGGCCATGCCTTGCCATGCATTGGCACCGCAAGACAAGACACACCATGGTCCGGGAAGCCCCTGTGACTCCCACTGTACTTGAGAGGCAGAGAGACAGTCTGTGCCCTTGAAAAGCAGAGGTCAGAGTCCTGAGTGAGTGAAGCACAGGACGAGTTCCTATTCCCAGCACCCACAGTCCACCTGGCACAGAGGAAACACCCAGCAAAGGTTTGCAAGGACCCAGATGGAGAAACAGCAACCCCTGAGACTCACCAGCACACGACAGCTTGCACTGGTGCTCAGATGGGCAAGTGAAGCTGCCAAAAGGCACCTCTAACTGCCCACCTTCGTTCCTAGGGCTGGTCCAGCTGCAAGTATCCACTGCCCTGGGAAGGAAAAAGACAGATAGGATCTTGCTGAAGACCTATGGAGGCTGCTTTCTGCATTACTAGAATGGCAAGAGTGAGGAGGCACAGGGTTTGGAATTGGCTCTCACTGCTCAGAACTGTGGCCCTACTGTAAAAGAGGAAGTAAAATTATCCTTGTTTGAACATGACACAATCCTATACATAGAAGAACCAAAGAGACTACTGGAACTCATAAAAGAGTTTAGTAACGTTGCAAGACATAAAATCAACACATAAAAATTGATAGCCTTTGTAAACACAAACAATGCGAAAGAACTAAGATCAGTCTCAATCACAATAGCTAAAAAAAGTACGTGTCTTTGAATAAATGCAAACAAGGATATGAAAGATTTCTACTATGAAAACTACAGAACAGTGAAGAAGGAAACAGAAGAAGACACAAAAGAATGGAAGAATCTTACATGTTTGTGGACTGGAAGAATTTATGTTATGCAAATGTCCATACTACCCAAAGCAATTTACAAATTCAATGCTACCCCAATAAAAATACCAAGGGCATTCTTCTCACATCTAGAAAAAACAATGCTAAGATCCATATGGAAACGTAAGAGACCCTGAATAGCTAAAGAAATCTTAAAGATCAAAAACAAAGCCAGAGGTATCACGATACCAGATTTCAAGGCATACTACAGGGCACTTAGAAACACAACAGCCTGGTACTGGCACAAAATAGACACGTAGACCAATGGGACAGAACAGAAACCCCAGAAATTGATCCATGCAGCTAAAATCAACTAATCTTTGACAAAGGAGCTAAAATTAATCCCTGGAGAAAGGACAGTCTCTTCAACAAATGGTAGTGGGAAATGGATCTATGCATGCAGAAGTATGAAACAAGACTCCCTACCTGACATCCTATACAAAAACAAACTCACAATGGATCAAGGATCTAAATCTACAACCTGATACTACCAAATTACTAGATGGAAACATCAGGGAGAAATACATCAGCATAGGCAAAAACTTCTCGGAAAAGACCCTAGAAGCACAGACAATCCAAGCAAAAATAGACAAATGGGATTCCATCAAACTGAGAATCTTCTGCACTGCAAAGGAAACACTCACCAAAGTGCAGAGGCAACCAACAGAATGGGAGAAAAGATGTGCAAACTATGCAACCGATAAAGGATTAATATCCAGGACCTATAAAGAGCTCAAGAAACTCAACAACAAAACAAACAATCCAGTTAAGAAATAGGCAAAAGACGCAAACTGGCATTTTTCAAAGATGAAACACAAATGGCTAACAGACACTGGAAAAAACGCTCAGAATCACTAGCGTCAGGGAAATACAACTCACCCCAGTTAGAATGGCTATCATCTAAAAATGAAACAATAATAAATGCTGTCAAGGATGTGAGGGGAAAAGTACCCTAATACACTGTTGGTGGGAATGTAAACTAATACAACCATTATGGAAGACTGTAGGGAGATTCCTCAGAAATTTGAAAACTGATCTACCATATAACCCAGCCATCCCACTCCTGAGAATTTACCCAAATGAAATGAAGTCAGCACATGAAAGAGTTATTTGTACCCCCTTACTTATGGCAGCTCAATTCACAAGAGCTAACATATGCAATCAACCCAGATGCCCATCAACTGATGACTGGATAAAGAAAATGTGGTATATATACACTGTGGAATACTATTTAGTCATAAAAAAGAATGAAATCCTAGCTTTTCCACCAAAATGGATACAACTGGAAACCATTATGCTTAGTGAAATAAGTCAGTCCTAAAAAGATAAATATCATAGGTTTTCTCTGATATGTAGTAGTTAATATAGGTTACCAAAAATGCACAGAATTTGATTGTTGTCTTTAGCCCTTGTTTATACTTATGTGGAACTGTGATCTGATCTTTCCATTTTTCTATTTGTTGAATATTATGGTTAGTGGTGCATTAAGCCTGTGATTAGAATGGACTGAAGTTATATTTTTGCAAAAATTAAAGGAAAAAATAGAAGGAAGGAAAGGTATTCAAGGAGGAAAAGAAGAAGGGAGGGAAATGTGTTATCTTCTCTCTCAGGGCCAGTGGTGTGGCACAGCAGGTTAGGCAGCAGCCTGCAATGCCAGCATCCCATGAGGGCACCAGTTAGAGTCTCAGCTGCTACACTTCTGATCCAGTTTCCTACTGATGTGCCTGGAAAAGCAGAAGAAAGTGGCCCAGGTGTTTGGACCCCTGCACCCACATGGGAGAGATCTGGATGAAGCTCCTGGCTCCTGGCTTCAGCAAGACCAAGGCCAAGCCCAGCTGATGCAGCCATTTGTGGTTGGAAGACCTCTCCCTCTCCTTTTCCCCCTCCCCCTCCCCCTATCCCTCTCCTTCTACCTCTCTTTCTGTAACTCTGAATTTGAAATAAATAAATGAATCTTTAAAAGAAAAAGAATTGTATCTATAAAATACATGAAATCAGCTCTCTTTATATCAATAAAAGTTTTTTAAAAAATAATTTTGGCCCCAAACAAGTGATGTGACATGTTTGTGGATCAGAAATCTCATCTATAAAATAAAGAGCCTTAGATGTTCATCTGTTGTTACAGTGGCTCAATGATACAGGTGAGAAGTGGTAAAAATTAGAGATGCATTGCTTAGGAAAACATGAGGGCCCATACATGCATACAAGTTTGGGTCCAGGCCAGCTGGACAACAGATCAACAGCCCAGAGTGAGCCTCAACAGTCACCCTTCCAAAAACCCTCTCTGTCCCCACAAACACCCCTCAGCCCCACCCACCTTCCATGTCCGTGGCTCTCATCTATGAAGATAGAGAGAAGCTTATCTCACCCTACAGGAGTAGCTAATAGGTGATACAAAGCCCTTGGAGTCAACCTAATGTCATTCTCAAGTGACCTCTCTCTTCACTGCCCGACTTCCATCAGCATCTCAGGATCACTCTCTGGATACTGTGTCATGTATCAAAACATGACATATGTCTCCATCTGACATAAATGCTTACCACATAAGCATTAAAAATGTTCCCTGGTGCTGGTTTAACATGAAACTCTAACCTGATAAACATTAAACTTCGGGGGGGGGGGTGGACACTGTGACATAATGGACTGAGCTGCCTGGGGTGGAGACCCACCTCTGCCTCCACTTCCGATCCAGCTCCCTGTTAATGATGCACTTGCAAAGGTGGCAGACAATGGCCAAAATCCCTGCCACTCACATGGGAGACCTCTATGAAGTTCCAGGATCCTGGCTTCAGCCTGATCCAGTCCTGGGTACCAGGGGCATTTGGGAGTGAACTAGCAGATGGAAGATCTCTCTGTGTCTCTCCTCCACTCTCTTTTGCTCTTTCAAGTAAATTTTTAACAAAATAAATTGCTGGGTGATCACATGAAAAATAAACACAAAAAATAAAAGAATAGAGTCTTTCCATCTGTGAAAATGAAATCTCTTCCAGATTATTGAAGAAATGGAAGTTACCATCAAAGAAAATGAGAGTGGGTTTGAATATGCAGAAACTGGAACAAAAGAGAAATTCATCGAATGACACATGGTGAAGTCCATTCTAAAATAAAGCAATAAAATTAGAAAAACAATAGATGATCCATTTAACTGATAAAAGCCCATAATCACAAAAGGGAAGGTACTTTCAAAAGTTCATGGAAAATGAAATTAGAAGATGTTTATTTTCGTGCAAAATAATTTGAAATCCACCCCAAGTTTTTTATAACACACATTTACAAAGAGCTTTCTAAAGATACTAGAATACACTTTTTTGCATCAAACTTTTTGAAGTGTCTTTGCATGTAAAAATTACACCAGTCAGAAGAATGAAGACATGGTGGCTCCTAAAGGAAGCCAGCTAACCAGCACAGGGCGTCTCAGGCTGGAGTTCAGACCACGTGGCAGTGACACAGGGCAGGAGTCACTTCCCAAATCTAGCTGGGCGGGGGGGGGGGGGGGAGTCTCCCTCTCTCATCACTAATATATATTTATAATATATATAATTTATCACCCAAAGGGAAGTACCTTGGGGTGACAGGTTTAACTCAGGACTTTCCCAATCAAAGCAGGATCCGTGGTCACTCATCCTTATCCCACACACATTTGAGGCTGTGGACACCTTGAGGTCTGCCATAGGGAGAAACCAGTGCACTCTCCAGCTGGGACATCAAATCCACAGCCCTCCCAGGAGGAGTAAAGAAAGCAAAACTAGAGCAGCTACAAGTTACAGTTAAGGACTCCTTAAGTTAACAGAAAGCACAAGACAGAGGAAAGTGTCTGCATTCCTGGTAGTATTCATGTTTCTGAACGGCAATCCAATACTATGTAAGGCAAAATTGTTTACATAATTTGAGCTCTACTGTACATATAAAAAATTTAAAAGGAAACCACAAAAATTAAATATAATTTACTACAGAAAACATTAAGGGGACAGTGTTGTGGTGCAGTAGGTTAAGACAGCACTTTCAAAGTCAGCATTTCATACTGGAGTGCCTTTTCTAGTCCTAGCTGCTCAGCTTCCAATCCAGCTCCGTGCTAATGCCCCCGGGAAGTCACAGAAGATGGCCCAAGTGCTTTGGCCCAGCACCCATATGGGAGTTCCTGTGTCATGGCTTCAGCTGGGCCCAAACCTAGCTGTGGCAGCCATTTGGAAAGTGAACCATCAGACGATGGAACATCAATCTCTCTCTCTCTCTCTTTCTCTCTCTCCCTCCCTTCCAAATAAATAAATCTATTTTTTTAAAAAAAGAAAACATTTAAGCAGCAATGTCCACTAGTAAGAAATGCTAAGCAAGTTATTACTACATTAACATAGTGACTAAATGGCTAATCATAACAACTATTTATACTCTGTATGAGATAATGTTAAGCACAAAAATTATAATATAGTAATTAATTATACATATGATTCACATTCAGAAATGACCAAAAAAGCAAAATGTGGTGAATGAAATAGAATTTACTGTTCATTAGGATATTTCCCTCCAAAAGTATCTAAAT